GGGACGGAGGGCCCCGCCGCCCGGAGCAGGGGAGCGCGGCGCCCGGCGGGGTGAGTGTGGGCAGCGGCTCCGCCGGTCTGAAATTTTCGCCTTCCTCGGGAAGCTGCGTTTGGTTTGGAGAGAGCCGAGGCAGGGAGGGGTTTCTTTCTCTCTTTCTTTCTTTTTTTCATTTCTGTCCTGCAGTTGTTTCTTTTTCCAGCTGGCGTTGCACTGGAGGCGTAGGGAACGCTTTTCTGCGCTTCCTGCGTCACTCCTTCCTGCATTACGAATAAATCTGAATATTACCGTGTTTATTGCGCTGTCCCCTATCTAATTCCAGCATGGGGGCCGAGGAGGGCCCTTTTTCTCCAGCCTACCCCCTGAGGGGCACCTCACCCTGAGGACATGGCTGCTTGGGCTGGCCTTGCTGGGAAAGAGGCACGTCTGCCTCAAGCCTCCTGCCTTCTCCCCCAGCCCTGAAAATCGCAGGGAGCAAGAGGTAGCGATGGTGGGGAATAGCAGAGTGCCATCCTCCCCAGTTGCACACCAGCTCTTCCTGGAGAGACGCCATGTGGGACGCCGCGGCTGTCGGGTTACCTGTCGGCTGCTGGCTGCGTGGGCCGGAGGCACCTGAATCCGCAGCCTGATGCCGTTCAGCACAGGAAAGGAGTTGTAGGTGCTCAGGAAGATGGGTGAAGCCAGGGTGGTCGTCAGTGATCTAATTCTGTAAATGTTTGGTTCCTATCGCACCTAACTTCAAATTCTAAACAAAGCTCCTCTCCTTCGGAGAAGTTCGTTTAGTGCTAAGTGACTGCAGGCCGAGGAGGCCTGCACAGCAGACCCTTAGGACACTGCTTTCCCTGTGGAGTTAGATGCTACCAGCAGATCATCAGCATGTGTCTCCCCTCCGGCTGTGTTGAAATGGTGGGACCTGGGGCTCTTCTGAGGCAACGGAGTTATGGTGGGGAGACATCCATGCGTGCCAGCTGCTAATCCACATCACAGTTTCTCAGGGAGGCGTATTGGGGGGTGTGGGTCAGAGGAGAGCTGCAGGTTGTTCTGGCCTGATCCTTCCATGGCGAAACCAATAACTGGAGAGATGTCACAGCATATATCCTCTATTTAATCTAGATATAGCCTTTGGAAGGTCCTGTTTTTTCAGAACAGCCTTTCTCTCCATAAAGTCTGTTCTAAAGCATAAGTGTCCACTGCTAAGAATATATGCATCAAATTAATAGTGATATGAGCACGCAGGGTCAGGTCATCCAGAAACGTCTGCTCAAGTGCCTTGCCAGTGACCTGCAGAGCCCCCAGAGAAACGGGAGTGAGGAACAAGATGGTGCAGGCCGAATAGTTTATCTTGCCTCTTGTTCGCAGCTTTACCTCTGATCTCCAAGGGTATTGTGTCAAAAAATGTAAAATCAACTGACAAATATGGGCATATATTACAGGGGAAGTGGGTTGTTGTTCCAAAAAAACGTGGTCATTCTGCATCTTCTCCATAACCACTTTGAGGATTAAGGTGTCAATAGTTACGTTAATATTACTGAGTTGCAGAGAAAATGGGGATTCCCACTCCTATTCTTGTGTCTCAGTTGTTGAAATGTTACATACAGTTTGGTTAAATGCACTGATTGTCACGCAGACAAAAACTAAGTCGTGCCCTTTGTTCTATAAATTCTTATTTGTCATGGAGGCCCTACAAAAACTTCCTAAATAATACTTCTCAGTGCTATCACTAATGCTGTGTTGTCAGTCAAAAGTCCTTATTGCTAGTGGCCTGACAGGGATCAGGACAGTAGGAAAATTCTGCTGTTCAGGATAGCTACAGTGAAACTGAAAACGCTAACTGCCTCCTGGTTATGCTGAACAGTACTGTGTTGTTCTAGACAGAACTGGAGGATTGTTTCCATCTAAGTTTTCTTTTTTGGAGTTCTAGGAGAAGAGAAACGTAAGTTGTTGCCTATATAGTCTATAGCAAAGCTGTTAGCAAGAATTTTTCATAGGTGGAAAATCACGCATGCAAAAACTTGTTCTTTCCACCCATTTGTTTGAGATAATGTGTCAGTACTATGAATTAGGTGTTAGGTTTGTATTTTGTAGCACGAGGCACTGCCCTAAGGAAGAAAAAAACATAGAAACCTTCACTGTTGACTGACATCTTAAGAGTGTTTGGTGATACATGAGCATTTAAGTCAACATTTTAACGTGTATAGCTCCAGTTATAGGCGTGTGGTCTGTAACCTCGCGTTAGCCACCTACCCAGCTGATGTATGTAGAGTATGACAGTCTGAGTTACGCATATTGAAGCATGCATGTACCATAACGTTCTGTCTTTTGTGGTGCATGTTTCTGTGTTGTAGGCAATAAAATGCAACTTGAAACGGACTTTGATTTCTCTCTTTTTACTGCAACAGGAAATTAGAATAATCTGGTTGCCAGGATGACTAAACAATAACCTTTTTCTTTTTTTAATCTTATAGATCGGTGCATTCTGCTGACTTCTGCCAGACACACTGTTAGATATAAAACACAGTCTGCATACTTAAAAGTAAGCTAAAGATAATACTGAAGATAAACAGACTTAGAGAAGGTAAGAATTTATAGTTCTGCCATTCTGACGCTTAACTTCTGGCTCCTGTTTTCCTCTAATGGCAAATAATCGTCCTACAGAAGTCAGAGGAAACTTTTTTTATTTAAACAGACTCTAAACAAAATATGCACTGCTATATATGATCACCTCAAAAGATGTAATAAATTTACCCACTGAAAAGCCTAATGAGACCAATGGGAACTGCTATCTCTGTTACAAGTATGGTACTGCAATACAGAAACAAAGAGAAAATCCATTAAAAAACCCCTTAAGTGCCTAATATAGTATTCAAGATGTTTGTTTCACCAAATCGGTTTTTCCCAGGGACGAGATAATTTTCCAGCCTAATCATGACATAGACTGCATAGTTTACACTGGGAAATATAAAGACAAAAATAATTTGAAGTGAAGTAAATTTGAGGCATTGTTGCTTTGTATTTTATCTCCCAGGTTCTGAACCATGGATAGCCTCAATGCAGCAAATACCACTTTTGCACTCAGCCTCTTAAGAAAGCTATGTGAAAACAACAGCACGCAGAACCTATTCTTTTCTCCTTTCAGTATTTCTTCTGCTCTGTCTATGATTTTACTGGGTTCGAAAGGTAACACTGAAGTCCAGATAGCAAAGGTATGTCTAAATCAAGTGTATCAAATTTGACATGAACATATGAACCACAAATCTGTCTTACCGAGTCTGTGACCTGCACTTATGCTAAATTGTCACCATCATTTTGGCCTCAGTGAGCGGAGGTCTTCTTTAGTACGTACTTAGGCAGTACCTTTTATTTTTTAATTACTATCTGTTTGTGTAGGAGGAGCTTTCTTCAGTATGCAATTAAGAGGTTCTTGGTGGTTGTTTTATTTTGTTTGTTTTGTATGTGAGACAGAGGTCTTCCTTTTGAATCTTAGTAAGAGATACTGGAGTGGGGCGGCAGGGGTAGGTTTTGTGTTTGTGTAGCTAGAGATGGATCTCCAGCTACAAAAAATATTTTATTCCACTGTCTTCCTTGGGAATAATATTAGACTACATTTTGAAAATATAGCCAGGCACCTTTGAAAAAATAAAAAATCACCCTGTAAATGTGTCATGTCCGACACCCCAAAATTTGAAGAAATCAAGAAAAAATCACCAGTCACTTGTTTAGTATTTGCCTCTGTTTTCACAAACCCGAATTTTAACGTGTGAGCACTTGCAACATCTGGAAGAAAGAAGTGGTATAGGGCTAAAAGCACAGCTCTGAAGTCCCAGTGGGTACCTGAACAAAGATGCAGAACAGGGCAAAGCTGGATGGTCAATGAAAAGTAAAATTTATCATATAAGTATGTAAGCAAGTTACCAAAAGTAGAGTTAGTGAGTGCAATGAACAGTGTGCCAGTGGTTTATCAGTAGGATCTGCCCACGTGCACACTCAAACCCCTCAGTAACTGCAGTACGGCTTATCCCACGTTCACTGAGGGACTACTCAGCTCCCCCTTCTTAGCATGAAGAGCTTTCCCCTAGATCGTAATTTGGAGTAGATCATTTTTACATTTACATTTGTAGCAATGGTAGCAGTGATCATGAAGAATGAGATGGGAGCTGAGACGTTGTTTTGATGGGGGTTTAACTCCTTGCCTCTGTTAACACTAGTCACAGTAGCCTATTTTTTCCTCTTATCATTTGAAGGGCTAGATCCATCCTTGTTTCCATCTAAGGTATTGAATAAAATCCTTTGATGCTACTACAAACAATATGAAATCATCTGAAGTTCTATTTGGTTTTTAAATTAAGGTTTTCTGGTTTCTGGGTATTAAAACAGTTCTGCTAGGTTTTCTAGGGTGGGGATTATAAACCCCTAGTTCTGCAGCAAAAACCGTATGCAGCATTAAGGAAAAGGCAAGATGGGTCTAAACTTAGAATTCTCAAGAGGCTGGATGGATTTCTTAGGCAGGTATTGCTTAGATTTAACTTGTCCTTTGTTCACAAAGCATCGTTCTCTGCATTGTGATCTTAAAGCATTATATGTATTAGTGGGCAGGAACATTCACTTGTTTTCTGATAGTGTCTTGTTCAAAATGTGCACTGCACAGTTCTCGAATGTTGTATTCATATCATGACATTCTTTTGCAACAATTACAATTTATTTTACTTTAACCAACCATCTGAGTTGGTTAAAGTATGTCACCTTATTACGCGTCACTTTATTTGAATCTTGCATATGAATATAAGGATTCTCATTAAATATTTAGGATTGATATGCAGCTAAGAAAATCCGCTCTACTCTATTGGTGTCAATCTAGAATAACTCCTTGGACTTCTGTGGAATCATTTCGGATTTAAATCTGTATAGAAGAAGCAGCACTAGGCTAGTAAAATGTTGATGCAGAAGTTGGATCAGGATAAGCCAAATACCCCAGATACTTATCTTGGTTGCTGCAGATTTCATTTCATTGAGCTGAGTGAAATAATCCTCTGAGAATTTCAAACGCTCGTTTATGCACACCCTTCTCATAAATCAAATCTTTAGACAAATATAAGTCTAATGTTTTCTTTGACTGCTAGGGCAGTCCAGTGTCGTGTAAGCAGTGAAACACTGCCTAAATTGTAGTTTGCACTCAGAGAAGCCTTCTCAGATTGTCATCATACACTAAAGTATTTCTTTCTTTCCTTCAATTTTAATATAACTCAAGTGGAGGCTCTAATATTAATGAGCAAGAATGCTGTATCTGTTTCAACATTCATTTATTTCATAAATGTTTTCATATAATGAAAATACCGCCCTTTCACGTAAAGATTTCAAGTCAAACAATAGGCATCTGTGCTTGTGAACATTTTCCTGGTAGAACTTATGCCAAGTGTTGTATTACTAGGTTCCTTAAATCATTTTACTGCTTCAATAAAATAGGGATGGGAGAGCACAATGATTAAGGCAATACAAAAAAAGGCCACTGACAGATAGATAGAATTGAACATGCACCTCATTTAGGAACAGAAATAACAGCAGAGTTCTGTTGTCATAGCTAATTGAAGGCATTACATAAAACGTTGCTTTCAGCTCTGAGAAATGGGCTGTAAAAAGGGCTATTGTTACCACAGAAGAAAATGAAAATTGCACATTGGTTGACATTTTTTTTAACTTACCCCAATAGCAAATACCACTTGCATATTTTTCTGTTTATGCAATTGACAGCATTTAATGCATGATCAGTCATTTTTCGTCTTGTGTGTGCCGCCCCTTTCTGCAAAATGAAAGAGGTGGATAAACATACATTTTGTTTTCATTTATATCTATGAAGGTGGCTGGATTTTATCCAAAGCAAGTATGGTGAATGATATTATTAAATTTATTTTATAAATACAGTAGTTCTTTATGCTGATAGTTTCATTACAGGTTCTCCAAAATTATATTTTTAATTGTATATCCCTAATGCCTAGGTAGATTGAGGGAAGCTATATACCGCTGACCCTTCTGCACCCTAACTTATTACTCATACAACATCTGACTCTGTATGCCTCATGTGTAACTTGCATGATAAGCTCCAGATGGGCAGCCTGATGAAAAATCTGCAGTCTGCCATGGCTTGCTCTGGGTATTCAAGTCAGTTTTTGATCTCAAAACTGGTAAAAAGAATTGTGCTCAACCAAGTGTTTCAGAGAAGGCCTGAACTCTGCTGAGGATGTTTTTCTTGCTACAGGTGCTTTCTTTGAGCAAAGCTCAGGATGCTCACAATGGGTATCAGTCACTTCTTTCTGAAATTAACAGTCCAAATACCAAGTATGTGCTCAGAACTGCTAACCGGCTGTACGGAGAAAAGACTTTTGAGTTTCTTTCAGTAAGTAATCATTACATTTGCGGGGTTTTGAAGTATAAAATACTCGCTCCCATTCCCTTTGAGAGCAGAGAAAGGCATTGGAGTTTACTTCACAGGTTCTTTCTAAACTGAGACCTACGAACCCGAAAGACTGTACTCAAAAGGACAGTACGTGAATTTGGCTGAGAAGCTCTTGTTTGATAGCCCCATGATGGTGCAAAGCACTATAAAATCTGTCAGACTAAATCTTCATGAGCGACACGTTTTTTGGCTATGGGCCAACTATTTGACATCTCTCTCTTCACTTGATCATGTGTTAGTATGGGGAAAAAAAAGAGAATTGTTATTGCTGTCCAGCATAAGCAGTATTTTGTAGTTTGTCTTTTCTCTGTCATCCAGAGAACATAATGAAAGGGGTACGTGATTTTTAATATTTTCCTTATCAGAAGATATAAATAAGAATAATGGTTATTGTGTCATGCCTGTTCCTTTAGCCATTTCCCTAGAAATACACCTATGGGTTTAATTTTTATTTTTTGGGAAGTGATGAAATCGTGTAGGAGTTTATGTCTAAGAAGTCTTGTAATGTATTTTTCACTCTGATGCAGTCCTGTTACTCTTCCTAATTCACAGTCTTTTTGTGAAAAAATGCTGTTAATTAGCACCACTCAAGAGTTTCATTTCTCTGCTGGATTGGAATTGCGAAGATTAAACACTAAAACTTTACATCTGTATAATGAAGATCTAAATATATGAAATTGGAGAGAAGATACGCTTTTTCTCTATATGAAAAATCACTGTTTCACCTCTGAACTAAAAGAGTTTACAGTTAGTCTCGGAGTTTTAACAACTAAGTTTATGTAGAAACAGGTTTACAGCATTGAATGTTCTCTGACTGCGGCCAAAAAAACCCCAAACATATAATCTCTCAATTCAGTTCTGTTTGACTCTCTAGCGCTGCACTAGCCAAACCAGTTGTTTGGCTTAGTTACCTAAAAATGGAAGACAGGTTGTAGTTTGCTTAGTTGATTTTTTAATAAGGTAATAGGAAGGTGTCAGACAAAACTTTAAAGGCGCTACTTGAAGCTGGGGGAAGAGAGGAGGCAGATTTTCTCAGTGTATTTTAAGGATTGTCTGTGACTGAACATGAGTAAAAAAAAATATATTGCTGAAATTCTGTTCTTAATGTTCGTGGTAGTCATTTACAGAATCCAGTGAGAAATTCTATCACGCTGGACTAGAACAAACTGACTTTGTGCATTCTTCAGAGGATTCCAGAAAAAGAATAAATGATTGGGTAGAAGAAAAGACTGAAGGTAAGTGTTCTGCAGAGCTTTGTCTTGCATTTGAAGGCAGTCAAGGCTTGGATAAACTGCTGTCTGAAGATAAAATATTTTTGTGTTTTTAAAAAATCCTTAGCTCTCACTATCAGACTGATATTATCTATCGCGTATCAATTACAGAGTAGATACTATAGTTTTAATAATTAGATATATGCCTAGCTGCTAAAATTTGTTTTCCTTCAAATGTATCTTAAAGGTAAAATTCAGAACCTATTGGCCGAGGGAATTATTAATTCAATGTCCAGACTTGTGTTGGTGAATGCCATCTATTTCAAAGGCAACTGGGAGAGCCAGTTCAACAAAGAGAAGACAGTGGAAAGGCCATTTAAAATTAACAAGGTATGATATGCTGCAATGCTGACAGTACAATGTTACAATGAACTCCAAAGAAATCGTATATTCACACGGGGTTACCATAGGTAGGTTGCGTGGACTTACTTCTAATATGAACATCCTCTTTGTTTATTTTTTGTTAAATGTTTCACATACTTTCAAAAAATTTTATTTTCAGAATTACGTATTTCTTTTATTCTGCTTCTTTTTTCTTACTACCCTTATTTTCTGTGTTTGAGAGAGGTAGTCCTATACCCAGTTACAGAATTTAAAACTTCTGAAGAGAACATTGCTAAATAAAGCTGTCACACTATTTATGAGAGTCCACAAGGTGCTGGCACAAGAAATAATTACAAATCATTATAAATCATGGCCTGTAGTACAACATGTCTGCGTACAGAACTCCCTCAGACCTGAAAATATTTACAAGGTCTGATCCTTTCTCTGTGTTGTTTTACACAGCTGAAAAGTGGGCACAGCAGTCACAATGCACAACTTCATCAAGGCTTTAAGGGCTGTCAGAGTCCAGTACTCTCTGACGACGATGTTTTAGATATTCCACGCATACGGAGTGTGCAATGTTTAATGTGCAAGTTTATTTTGAGGGAGTTTGATGTTACACGGCATTTTTGATTTAGCAGAGTGATAAAGCAATATTCTGAAATCACAATACAAGTGTATCCACTTAGCAAAATATAGCAATTGCAATATACGGTTCAATCAATACCAATGTGTTTGCTGTTACCGGTCTCTATAATATGCTCACTGTCACGACGCTGGGCATCCCCATTTGCCGGGAAGGAATACATGGGTTGAAGCCAGCTTAAGCCCGTTGCTCTCTCTGAAATTCCTTTGTTAGTTGTTGAGGTTTTATACTCTCTGTTGGACTGAGCCATGTGTACACTTCCCCCTTCTTGGTCTGGCAAATCTCAGGGAAACCTTCATATTCTTGTGAACAACTCAGGAAGAAACGTTTACATCAGGTCCAACTCATGGATTTGGCTGCTTATCTAAAACAAAGGTTACCCTCCAGTCCCCTTGGTGTTGAGATAAAGTCGGTTCTCTGTGCAACAGCAAGGATTAATGAGCTGCATCCTACACTGTCCTTGAGCTTCATGGGGTACCTTGCCCTCTGAGCCTTCTCCCATTGTAGGGGTTATTGGTCGGTCACAAGGGCTTACTTTCTTGTCGAAAATCTGGGATTACTAATTCTTTTCTCACATGAGTGGCAAGTCAAGAACGACTTCACAGAAGTCAGTGAACTTGACTATTTCAGCATAGAACTATTTCAGCATAAGAACAGGATTGTTCCTGTAGGCTGTACGCAGAAAGGAACTCTCTAACATGTTCAGCATCTTCTGAATGAAACAGCCTTCTTCAGTGAAAAGGCTTTTTCACTGCATTTCTACCATGGAATTGATGCAAATTAAGTGGGGATTAACCTCTTCTTCTTCAAAGACATCAGTACTAGTCTTTCTCTCTTTTGGAAGTACATCCATGTATTCTGGAAAACTTAGCCACTATGATCAGTAGGTCAGGGCTGCTTCTTGGAGATTACCCCAAACTCTGGGTATATTGCCAGATGTCATTGAAAAGAACTAGTAATGTGACTCCTTCATGAATTCACCTGCTTTAAACAAACACTGCAAAACTGAAACCATCATACCCACCTTAAACCATCCCTCCCTCAGTTGGGAAACACATACAAGAATGCCGAAAGGTACTAATACCACTTTTCAAATAGGGAATTTTATTGCTTACCCCATACTATATACTGCAGTACTTCAGAAACTACCAGACTGACTTGGTGCCTGGCATCTTGCCCTCTCACGGTTGAGATATACTTTGAAAAAGCTAGAAGAGTTGCAAAAGCATTTCTGGGATATTTTCTGTGAGCATTGTTTCAGTGGGCCTTACGTTACTTTTTCTTTTTTTTATAACTTATTGCTTGGTAATCTCATCAAGGTTATGGAGGTAAAAAAGCAGTGGAACCCTTAAATGAACTGGAGGAAAGCAGTGAAGTAAATAATAGTAACTGATGCTCCGTGCGAAAAAGGAAGACGACAGCGGAGAACAAAATTGAGAAGAAAAATCTCTCCCTTCCCTACTGTCCTTGTGGTTTTTAAGGACTCAGAATAGTGTGCTCACTTTTTTGGCATTTTTAGTGGCATGTTAAAATATTTTAATTCCTTTATATTATAGCATATAGAGCCACATAAAAATGAAAATATCTAAATTGAAATTATTTCGTATTCATACAAAGCAAGGAAGACAGGTTGTGCTTCTCAGCAGCTCTGTTACAAGGAATGCTAGCTCTTAGCATAAAAGCATGTTCTTGCCTCTTTACAGACATTTCACAGATACTTCCACGTTAACAATTTAAATTAACAAATTTAATTAACAAATTAAATCCCAAGGATCCTTACTTCTTATCTCTTGCTTTACTAAAAGCAGTGGCAAGGCTGTACCCCACAGTGTGTTCTAGTTCTCTGTACATTCAGATTTTAAAAAGCTCTGAGTAACTGGATGCCCATCTCTTATTTTAAGACCAGCACACTAGCTCGGTATTAACTGTTGACATCACTTTATTTTTAGAATGAGAGCAAACCTGTGCAGATGATGTTCAATAAAGATAATTTTAACATGAGCTATATCGGGGACTTCCAGACCAAAATCCTTGAGCTCCCTTATGTCGATAATGAACTCAGCATGATCATCCTGCTCCCCGATGCCATCCAGGATGGATCCACTGGCCTGGAAAGTGTAAGTCGTTAAACTAAATGCAAAGATAGTTCGTATTGTGCCAGAGAAGAGTTTGATATTGCGTATAGACCTGCAAGTTCAATTCCAGATTTGTTGTGTCACTGGTACACAGTACTGGATGCAATGTCCTATACCTCCCAGTGCCCAAAGTGATTGGCATGCCTTGTGTCACTGCTGGTCAAGCTGTGTGCTGTCCCTTACCCAGAGAGAGACTCTGGAAGAAGGCTTAACCTTCAATGGGAGTAGGGTCAGCTGCAGTTAAGGTGAAGGCGTAGTGTGGTGCCCACCAAATGAGCAGGGGTTCTGGGACACTCTTAGGAAGTCTGTATAGGAAGTCCTTGACCCATATATGTTCCTTTCTCAACAGCTGCAAGGTTGTCTCTGGCCCAACACCTGGAAACAGGCTCACAGGAAGCTCTGGGGTCTCTTGTATTTTGAAGATAGCCAACCAAGGAATTCATTAATTAGTTTCTCCAACATTGGCTGCAAAGGGTATTGGGAGCAGACCTTTTCCTCAGGCTTTTTCAACCTGAAGGAGAGTCTTTTATTTAAGAGACAGAAGAGCTAGGTTCAGTTTCTTTGGGACTTTGAAAACAAGGATTAGTTCTCCTGCTTCTTGGTTTCCCATATGTAAAATAGAGTTGTTACAATCTAACATGTTTTATAAAGTAAACTTTACAAGGAAGGGACAGATCCTTTTTGTATCTGTCACAAACAGCATATGGGCCCCCGAAACTGGGGCCACAAGCTCTAGTACCAGGTAAAACTTGTACTTTTGGCTTGAGAGCCTCTCAATTTTGGGGAAAAAAATACATGCACACACTGTTTTAAATACATACAGTAATCACCACTTTTGGCTATGTAAATCTGCAACTGTCTTCTTATTTGAATGACATAACTTTTGGTTTTTGATGTTTTGGGTTTTTTTAGCTGGAAAGAGAACTTACATATGAGAAGCTGATGGAGTGGATTAATCCTGAGATGATGGACTACACAGAGGTGAAGGTGTCTTTACCCAGATTTAAACTGGAAGAAAATTATGACCTGAAACCTATTCTGAGCAGCATGGGAATGCCTGATGCGTTTGACTTGATGAAGGCAGACTTCTCCGGAATCTCGTCTGGCAACGAGCTGGTGCTCTCTGAAGTGGTTCACAAGTCCTTTGTAGAAGTCAATGAAGAAGGCACTGAAGCAGCAGCTGCCACGGCAGGAGTGATGATGCTGCGCTGTGCAATGATTGTTCCAGAATTTACTGCTGATCATCCGTTCCTCTTCTTCATCCGGCACAATAAAACTTCTAGCATTTTGTTCTGTGGCAGATTTTGCTCTCCCTAAAAAGAAGGCGTCTTGGCAGAAGAGCCACTATTACTCCAATAAGTTTATGTTCCTTTACAATAGGATTGCTCTTTTGCACTTACTGCTTTTTTTCAACAGTGCCTGAATCCACTTCTGTGGTCTTCATCTCAGGTTTGAATAGAATAACAGAGCCACTTAGAAATCTATAGCAACTGCCATTTAAAACAACCCTTTTATCCAGTGTGCTTAAATACAGTTTTCTCTAACTCCCTGAAGGCAAAAAAAAACAACCCACTTGCTCAGTGAATACTTCTGTGTGTGCTTGTGGTTGCTACTGCACTTCACTTTTTCTGACCACCAGACAGTGAGTCAGAGGGTGACATCTCATAGAAAAGGAAGAAATTAATTTCATTTCTGATTAAGTTGGAGCTCATTTCCCACCCTCACTCCCTTTTTCTTCCAATTCCAGTCAGTCTTTCTTTTTTTTTCCCCAGACAGGTCCATTTAATGTTGAATACATTCCCTGGAGATGAAGGGAGGGTTTGGCAGCCTGTAATGCATGTTACTAGGCATCCTAATTAGACAGATTTTATGGATGATGACCAGGCAAGTGCTTAGTCAAGAGGGGGAATAAAAGTACGACCCTGTAACAAATGTCTTTATGCATTTTCATAGGGCCAGGATCAAAGTTTTATCACCAGCTGGCACCAAGGTTTATTAGCTACTGTACCTCAGAGTCCTCTCATGGTGTAGAACAGATATTTCTGTCATAATATAAAAAGTATTTCATGTAATAAAAAGCATGTGGGGCCTATGCAGTATTTAAATGACAAACCTTTTTTTTTTGGTAGCTCTATCTTTTTTCCTATTCATATTTTGTTAAATGTGCTTAGTAAATAATACCAAAGATATGGCTGAAATAAATGAATTTCCAAATACAGTGATTTGTTTTAGCTGTTTCTTTTCCTGAAATAATAAAAGAACTATGATTCAAAAGAATCATGAGTGCAGTGGGAATCCTATTTCTTTTCCATCTATAAATTGTGCAATTTTTTTTTCAGCTGTAGTGTGAAGAAAACTATTCTGGATGGATGGCATAGCTTCCCTGTAGATGGTTAAGAATTCATTGTTTAATGTGGAATTTCCTGAATACAGTAAAATCCAGGAATTTACTTGGATTGTCTTGAAGTTTGGAGTAGGCCTTATCCTAAAGAACCTGTAGAGCAAGGAGGTCCTAAGATAAGCATTGGTTTCTGGGCAGGATTCTAAGGCTGCATGTGTTTTTGTGCACAACTCCAAACCAAATCAGGGCTCCCTATCCAAATAGTGCTACATTGCCCTACTCTTAACTCATGACAGTGCACAGAGCTATCTCCTGGGGAAAGAAAATTGAAGCATTTTTTGGGGGGGGGGAGGGGAACCTTAGCCAGCAGGATGCATGAGGATGCATGTCACATGCTTAAGCTAAACAGTTTGTCCTGCATGCTCAAAGACAGAATGGGCGAGATTGCATTTTACTAAACAGTAGCCTTTAAAGCAGAGTGGCTTTCTGGGTGCGATGCGTTCTGACTGGCCAAATCAAGCGGAGGTGAAGGAAAAAAAATCAAGTTAAAAAGAAAAAAAAAGCCTCTTCCTTGTTTCTTTCTCTACCTTTTAGGTAAAAAGAAAGTAAAAACAACAGCAAGCTAAAAGTTGAGTTTAATAGGCCTGATAAGGCAGGGAGAAGTGAGCTATGCTAGGCGCCCACAGCGAGCTTCCCATTGGACCAAAAAAAAAATGCCTTTTGTCATTTGCGCGCTGGGATTTTTTATTTTATTTTTCGGTTAGTCCCACTCCCGAGGCCAGCTGCGCCCTT